AGTAGCTTATTCGATCCTCGCAACAACTGTAATGGTCAGAACTATTACTACTCCTATTTTACAGATGAGGAAATACCCGGCTGTAATTTGCCTACGATCGGTCAACTGCAGAGCCAGGATCTGAACTCAGCAGTCTGACTCCATAGTCCACACTCTCAGCCTCTGTCTCAGAGGTCAGAAAAGTTATTCTGTAAAGGGCCAGAGAGTAAGTATTTTAGGCTTTGTGCAGCATACGTCTCTGCCACAACTACCCAACTCTGCCACTGTGGCACAAAAGCAGTTGTAGATAATATATAAATAAACCAGTATGTTGTGCTACAATGAAACTATTTATGGACACCAAGATTTGAATTTCATTTAATTTTCACATGTCTTAAAACACTGTTATTTTTATTTTTAATTTTTTTCTACCATTGAAAAATGTAAAACTCACATGTAGCTCATGCGCCAAAGAGAAGTGGTGGGCTGGGTCTGGACCACAGGCTGTTTCTGCTAAGTTCTGAACCACATCACACACTTTGTTTTTAATGCACACCATCTAAGGGTCTTGCCTGTAAATTTGTAAAGTTATCACGATGACCAAGGATGCTGCCAGCTAACACTATTAAGTCCTTGCTATGTGCCAGTTAGCTTGCTCAAGGCACTATGCATGTATTAACTTAATTAATCCTTACAAGAACTGTTTGAGGCAGGTCCTATTATCTTCCTCATTTTACAGACGAAGAAAATGTGATCGTTTAACTTGCCTTAAGGTTGCTCAGTGATTAAATGCGGGAGCTACCATTTGCACCCAGAAAGTCTGGTTCCATAGTGCACGCCTATAACCGTTTTGCCGCTCTGCTTCTCTTAAAATGTTTCACCCTGACAACAGCAGTAATACTTAATATTCATTCTCCCAGACAGTGAAACAAGGGCCACTAGAAAATAACATGGTTTTCACATCAAACAAAACAAACTTTCTTTAACTGATATCTGGATCAACCTGCTTAATTCAGGAGGACACAAAACATTCTCAAATGTTCAGGTCCTATTCTTATTTCTGTCGCTGCAATATAAATATGTAGATTTCCAAATGGGTTTCACATTTTCAGACTATACCACAGAGAAAACATTATACAGGTACAGAATCTGCAACTGATAAAAGCATTTGATTCAGAGATTTAAGTCATCTTAATATACACATCAGCTGGGCATAGTGTGCTCACAGTCCCAGCTACTCAGGAGGCTGAGGGAGGAGGATTGCTTAAGCCCAGGAGTTTGAGGCTGCAGTGAGCTATGATGACACAACTGCACTTCAGAATGACAGACAGGACAGAGTGAGACCCTGTCTCTCAAAAAAAAAAAATATACACACACACACACACACACACATATATATATATATATGAAATAGAGACATTATAAACATGCAAACCAACAAAAAACAAAAGCAACTATATCCTTACAAAAAAATGCTTTCTGTTAAAATTTTACAGGAAAAAAAGGAATAAAAAGTACTTTATGAAAAAAATGCATTAAAAAGGTGTTTTGGTTCAATTCAATCCAGTTAATTTTTAAAACATATGAATAAAAAGTCATTTGGTAATAACTGTTTTTCTTGGTGAAATTTACTTTTTACAAAGCATGACTTCTAGCTTTTAAGGCACTATTGCTGTCATATCCAAAAATAATTTCGTAAGTATTCTGATTTCACATAAGTTGGGGGAACTCTAATCCACCACAAGGGAAGAAAAACTTATGGGAACGTATTCATGGAATAATCAGGGATGAAGCACATTCTTAGGACTAGAAACGACTGCCCTAACACTACACTAAACAGCAAAACACTGGCCACAAGAGAACTGTAAGACTATATTCAAACATTCATCCAACAAATATTTTCTGTGTCAGGTACTGGCGCAAAACTACTGAAATCCCTATGAAGTAAGGGAATGAACCAAGAGAAAACAAGATAAATTAAGTAAAATACAGTTGACCCTTGAACAACATGGGACTGAACTGCACAAGTCCACATACACATGGATTTTTTTCAACCAAACGTGGATAAAAAACACAGTAGTCTCAGGATGCAAAGCCAGTGTATACTGAGGGCTGACTTTTCCCATCCATGGGCTCAACAGGGCAGACTGCGGGACTTGAGTGTGCACAGATTTTGGTTCACATGGGGGCCTGGAACCGATTTCCCATGTATACCGAGGGATGACCACAAGGAGCATGTTGAAAAGGGCTAAAAGAAAAAAGTAAAGCAGGGAAGAGGAATGTGAAGAATTGGGGTAGGAATTTTAGACAGGGTGATCAGGAAAATGAGAAGGCAATTCTTGAGAAGGAAAAGAGAGCCACGTGGAATGTAGTAGCAGACGTAAGAGGTAGAAGGAGCCAGGTCACCTAGGGCCTTGTCAGTCACATAAGGATTTTGGCCTTTATCCGGGGGCAGGGAGGTGAGCAGAAGCAGGAGGTCACAGGAGCACAGAGGCAAGAGACAGGAGGAAGTGGACACAGGTGCCAGGGCGGGGCGGGGGGTGCGCGTGGCGAAAACCGTCAGATTCTGGACACAATTTCACAATAAAACCGATAGGATATGGGATAAGGGATAAGGAAGGGAGGGAAGAGTAAGGGAGGGAAGAAACGAGAAAATAATCGCAAGGCTTTTGGACTAACTAAGAGCATGACATTGCCACGAACTAAGATGGAGACAGCTACGGGAGGGGCCGGTCGACAGGGGAATCTCAGGACTCCGGTGCTGGACACGAGGTTTGGGTTGCCTACTAGATACCCACACGGAGAAGCGGAGTGGGGCACACAGGCCTGGGCTCAGAGGGGAGGTCTGGGCTGGCAAGGCGAAGCTGGCGGAAGCCAGCACATGGGTGGGTTTTGCAGACAAGCAGCAGGCTGGTCTCCCCAGGGGAAGTCACGCAAACAGAGAAGAAAGGGCCAAGAATGGAGTGCGGAGGGACGCTAATGGGTCAAGGTCAGGCAGACAGGCAGGAACCACAGCAAAAACCGAGAAGTCAGGACAGTGGGAGGCAAGTCAGACAAGCGCAGGGTCCTAGTAGCCAAGGGAAAAAGGGGCCCACTGGAGGGCAGGGATGAACTATTTCGGGGATTGGCAGCCACCTGTTCGTGTAAAGTTTTATTGGAACACAGCCCTACTCATCCGTTCACATGCCGTCTCTAGCCGCCTTAGCTCTACAAGAGCAGAGCGCAGTAGCTGCAGCAGAGACCCTCACATCCTAACGTACTAACCACCCCGTCCCTTTATAGGGAAAAGTTTGTCAGCCCTGAGCTATTTCAAACACCAATGAAAGTCAAAAAAGACTAAGAATATTGCACTGCATTTGGTAACATGAAGAGCACGAGCACCCACTGAGGAGCAGTTTGGGCAGAACAGTTGGAAACTGGTTCATATATTTACGAGCCAGCTATCACGTTTATGAGACATGGCCTACAGAAACAAAACTATTTATTAGCATTTTTAGAAGCCACAAAATCAAGTGGGAAAAAGAAAGCCTTTCACATTGCACCTCCTCTCCCTAAAATGCTGTCCTTCTGTATTGTGCCTACTACACGGCTCCTTTACCTTCAGCGTGGCTCAAAAATCGCCTCCTTGGTAATACACCCTCCCCTTCCTCCACAGGAGGCTGGAAGCCTGAAGCTCCCTCCAGTCCATCCTCCTGGTACTTGCCCGCGCACCCCTGCATTCTAGAATCTTGCTTTCGTCCTTGGCCTTCAGTCGTGAGCTCCCTGACAGCAGGGGGCGGGGCTTAGCCCTACGTTTCTCCAGCTGCTGGCACAGAGTGGGCCCCAACCAGGTACAGTACGACTGTCCCCCAGGAGTACATTTCCGCTCCGTTAGAGTCCCTCCGAGAAAAGCGGCACAAGGGAGGGGCTGAATCATCTCACCCATCAAGAACGAACACGGACTGGGATGAAGAGAAAGCAGGGAGGGAGGCCCCGGGCAGTTTAAACCTGTCCCTGTAGCTCACCACTCACCGGAATGTGAGAAAATGGAACCAGCGCCCAGAACAGGTCTCCTAAACTGAAAACTTTTCAGAGAAAATAACCTCATTAAGGCCCGAAAAGCAAGGCTGCATTTCAGAGCGGAAAGAGGAAATGCCAACTCACCTGTGACATGGCTTTAAGGTCAATTCCTGTCCCCGCAGCCTCCTGCTTGTGGCTTCTCTCCGGGAGAAGGGCAGGGTCCCTGCAAGGAAGAGCTGCAGAAGGAGAAAGGAGTAGCTAGAGACCAGGTCTACACCATGCCCCCAGATCACCAGCCTGGGAACGCCCCTTCCTGCAAGAGCAAGGCGGGACCATTTTTAAAGGGGCAGGTAGGATCTGTCATTACCCCAGCTAGGGGCTGCCACAACGTTGGGGGTAGGGGGGTCTCTTCTCTCTGGGAGCCTGAAAACAGGGAGGTGTCTGGTTAGAGTGCCCCTGGGCCAAAGTCCCTCCTTCTACCGCTGTTTGATGCTGACTCAGATGAGCTTCCCAATCTTCGGATTCCCCCATCCACCAGCCTCGGAGGCCAGGGACACCGTTCTCCAGCACCTGGTCCCCGGGAGCCCAACCCCTCCAAGATCTCACCCCGAGGAGATGAATTCGTCACTGCCCACCCGGCCAGGCCCGACACCTGTCAGCCTCACCTCTACGCCCAGGCCCCGTGGTCACCGCTCCTCGCCGGCCCTTGGATGTGAGGCCATTCCCTGAGCGCGGCCTTCCCCGGGCAGGACGGGCGAAGGCGGCTGCAGTCCCCGCAGTCGGGCCTCGGCCCGCCCTAGGCTTTGTTCGGGGACCGCCTCGCCCCGGGAGGGACCCCGGCCTGCGGGCACCCGCTCTCGCCGCC